AGTCCGTCGCACTTTTTCCCATAACTCATGAAGGCGGGCTCCTGCACCCCCCTTCCGACCCCTCGTTGAAGAGGTCTTGCCAAGACCTATCCAAAACTTAAGTAAAAATTTTCAGTCGGTCGACCCCCTTTTTTCAAGATCCTGATGTGACTAATAGACGAAGTCGGGCTCCCAGACCCCCTTTCCGACCCCTCGTTGAAAAGGTCTTGCTGAGACCAATCGAAATCTGCAATAATTTTTTTTAGTCGGTCGACCCCCTTTTTTGAAGATCCTGATCTGGCCAACTTGTAAAAGCGGCCGATGGGGTCGGGACCAGGTCCATTCATCTTGTCTCGTCGCCCCGATTCCAAAGATACCCCTATGTGCCCTGCTAGCACCAATAATGGCGGAAATCCCCCTCCCGCTCATGTAAACCATGATGCACCTGCAGCAGCCCTTGTGCGACCCGGACGGAATTTGCACCACCGGATTATTTGTTTGGACGGTACTCCTGAAGTACCCTCCAAATCTGGTTACTCTAGCTCAACTCCTTCCTTGTACACAGACGCCAACAACAACAACAACAACAAAACAACAACAACACACAGACACAAAGGCAAATGCATAGGCCCTCCCCCTATTTTTTGAATAGAAGGGCGGGCCAAAAAAAACGGCATTTCCAGACAATGTCTGGAAATAACATTTTCCAGATAATATCTGGAAATTTCCCAGATAATGTCTGGAAACAAAGGCCTTGACGCCGAGGTCCACGGATTTGCGACCTGGGGGTCCCCGATGGTGTCCTCGAGGTCCCCAGGACACGAGGAGTCCAACGCCGAGGTCGCCGACGCTCTAGGACAAGCGGTTCCGGAGATACGAGGACGTACCACAAGGAGTCCGTCAAAGCAACTTTTTAGTTGGAGGCCAAAATCATCATCGGCCTCTGGCTGCGTTCCACTTGGGTGTCCGGGACTTTTGACTTCAGCATCGTGTTAAGGTAGTGCTAGACTACCAGGAACCCGTCAGAGGTCGCCGTCGGCCCACCGGTGCGCCCAGGATGCCGACGAACGTGGCTGCTGTGCCGCCACACGGTTCAACACCGTTGTCGCCACCACCCAGGTGGTCCCCGATGGTGTCCTCGAGGTCCCCTGGACACGGGGAGTCCAACGCCGAGGTCGCCGACGCTCTAGGACAAGCGGTTCCGGAGATACGAGGACGTACCACAAGGAGTCCGTCAAAGCAACTTTTTAGTTGGGGGCCCAAAAATCATCATCGGCCTCTGGCTGCGTTCCACTTGGGTGTCCGGGACTTTTGACTTCAGCATCGTGTTAAGGTAGTGCTAGACTACCAGGAACCCGTCAGGGTCGCCGTCGGACCAACGGTGCGCCCAGGATGCCGACGAACGTGAGGCACGCCGGAGCGCCGTGGCGTGCGGGTGCCTAAACGATCGTCGCCACCGCTGCGGCCCCCCTGCCGCCGGGTCCTCCGCACCAACCGCGAGCTTGGACGACGGAGGCCGACGCCGTTAGCACCGACGCCGCCGACGTGTACGTCGACGCCACCACATTGGCCTCTGGCATTGGCCTCCGGCTGCGCGGCCGTTCGAGCACACGCGGCGGCGTCGGCCGTCAGGGCACTCCGCGTCGGTGCCGACGGCGTCGTCTCTGGCCGTCCAAGCACACGGTGGCGACGCAGGACACGCCGGCGGCATCAGCCGTCCGGGCACGCGGCAGCGTCGTCGGCCCTGGCCGTGGTGGCGTTGACAGACACGTCGGTGGCGTCGGCCCCCGTCGTCCAAGCTGTTGGTCGCGACGTAGGACACGGCGGTGGCGGGGGCGACGCGATCGTTCAGGCACCTTGCCCGCCACGTTCGTCGGCACCCTCGGCGCACCGGTAGTCCAACGGCGACCCCTGACTGGTAGCCCAGGTGCACCCTAACGCAGTGTTTAAGTCAAAAGTCCCGGACACCCAAGTGGAACGCAGCCAGAGGCCGAAGCGGCCGTTAGAACACACTAACGGCCGACTAAGCACGTGGTGGCGTCGACGTACACGTCGGCGGCGTCGGTGCCAACGGCGTCGGCCTCCGTCGTCCAAGCTCGCGGTTGGTGCGGAGGACGCGGTGGCGACGATCGTTTAGGCACCCGGCACGCCACGGCGCTCCGGCGTGCCTCACGTTCGTCGGCATCCTGGGCGCACCGTTGGTCCGACGGCGACCCCTGACGGGTTCCTGGTAGTCTAACACGATGCTGAAGTCAAAAGTCCCGGACACCCAAGTGGAACGCAGCCAGAGGCCGATGATGATTTTGGCCTCCAACTAAAAAGTTGCTTTGACGGACTCCTTGTGGTACGTCCTCGTATCTCCGGAACCGCTTGTCCTAGAGCGTCGGCGACCTCGGCGTTGGACTCCCCGTGTCCTGGGGACCTCAAGGACGCCATCGGGGACCACCTGGGTGGTGGCGACAACGGTGTTGAACCGTGTGGCGGCACAGCAGCCACGTTCGTCGGCATCCTGGGCGCACCGGTGGGCCGACGGCGACCTCTGACGGGTTCCTGGTAGTCTAGCACTACCTTAACACGATGCTGAAGTCAAAAGTCCCGGACACCCAAGTGGAACGCAGCCAGAGGCTGATGATGATTTTGGCCTCCAACTAAAAAGTTGCTTTGACGGACTCCTTGTGGTACGTCCTCGTATCTCCGGAACCGCTTGTCCTAGAGCGTCGGCGACCTCGGCGTTGGACTCCTCGTGTCCTGGGGACCTCGAGGACACCATCGGGGACCCCCAGGTCGCAAATCCGTGGACCTCGGCGTCAAGGCCTTTGTTTCCAGATATTATCTGGAAAATGTTATTTCCAGACATTGTCTGGAAATGCCGTTTTCTTCAGATATATATCTGGGATTTGACCATTTCCAGACATTATCTGGAAAAAGTAGACATTTCCAGACATTGTCTGGAAAAAAACGGCCATTTCCAGACAATGTCTGGAAATGGGACAAATGTCTGGAAATTTCCAGACATCGTTTTCACCGTGTGCAAGTACACGCTAAAATACACTCTCGATTGAACTATGGGCCAGTTAGTGCGTTCTAGCAGGTACGTTCTTAATGTACTTGCAGGCACACTCTACTTTGGCGTGTGCATAGCAGCTGTGCTGTAAATGAGAGTGTGCTTGGAAGCATGCTGTAATGAGTATACCAGGTACAAACTTAAGTTTGCGGAGTAATCGAAAACTCATGCAATAAGGAAAAGTCAGTAACGAGCTGAAAGTGCACTGCTGCACCAAAGAAACTGTTCCGACACTGTACTACAACTGTGAAATGAAGGTAAAATTAAGAATGAACGATACAGGAAAGACCTGATTTTGGAAATGAAGGCAAACGAAAAGGCGTTAAGCACGTTATTAATTCCTACTCAGAAATAATAAGTTCATGGCGCCAAGTCTTTCCACCCAATTCACAGCACCCTAAATCGGGAATGACAGAATCAACCTATAATGGTTATGACGAGACTGGAGGAATAACTTTAAACAGAGTAACGTGTAAAACGGGCCAAGCACAAATGAACTGGGACAATATGTACCTTTCACCTGCGACGCGCGGGGACACAAGGTAACGAGCGCTACCGAAATTTCAAATTACCAGGCTTTTCCCGGGGCTTTTTTTGGTCCGAATTTCCGGACTCTTGAAACCAAATAAATACTTTCTTGGGCTCATAATGGGCTCATGACAGGAAAATTGAACGAAAAACTGACCAATTTATTTACATTATAAAAGGCTTCGAAAGTCAAACAATGACCATCACTGGCGAGCACAGGGGTCACAAAATGAATAACAGATCCGCTAGTACTACCAAACTATCAGTTAAGCTAGACAACTCGACAATTTTGCAAATTTCCCGGATCAAAAGCGAAATTTCGGTATTTCTCCCGAGCGGCCCACCCGGGGTTTTCCCGAATTCCCTGGAATTCCTGGAAGCTCCGCATAGTGCAGCTCGCGAGGCGGATCGGCAAAAACCACATAATTTTGACACCTCTCTCAGGATAATACGGCGGAGGCAGAATGAGTTTTATTAAGGCTACCTAGCGGGGCACGATCAGTCGCCTGCCTAGCATCAAAGGTTTCAAAGATGCGATTTCCTCAGAACAGGACATCCGCACTGAGAAAACCTTACAAACTATTTTGGGCCTTACAAAGAAAAGTAGTTTGTATAACTAAGTATTTTGAGCATACGTAAGCTTACAAAGAAAATACTTCGTAAGGTTTTAAGAGTGCGCCCCGGGCGTGCAAACGAAACGAAAATCGACACTATTTATTACCTTTTCGTAAGAAGGATATGCAATACTACATGTAATTGCAGCTGTATGGACTTCACAAAGCTTACGTTGCATGCGTTACGTTATTTCAAAGACCCTAAGATTTCCGTTAGGCCTCGAGTGGCGCACCGGTAAGAACCCTTCAACTGTGTAACCGGCTTCAAATTCTTTCCTCGCTGCTACCAGGGATGATGCCCAAAACGAAACAATACACTGGTAGCCAACGAATGTGACGTCATGTTCGTTGGAGTGTGAATTTTGTCACGTTCGTTTGAATATGATGTCACATGCATTTGAACGTGACTCGGCCGTTCATTTAGGTTGTCACATTCGTTTGAACGTGGATCAACATTCAAACGAATGTGACATTAAATTCCAACGAACGTGACATAGTTCACATTCGAACGAATATGACGTCACATTCGTTGGCTACCAGTGTACCCAAGGGCCATTACGACAACAGTTTGAACGTATGACTAACCCTCCAAAACTATACAGCTTTCCTGCGTTTTGGTAATCTAAGCCAAAGGAAAAGAACAAAACTCAGGGGTGCGGAATTAGGACTAGGTCCACCCACATGAGACTGGCCGCTTTTTTTTTTTTTTTTTTAAGAAAAAACTCATAAATTTAAGCATTATGACCAGAATATTCTATCGTTTGCACTGCACGCCCAACCCCCTTGATCTAACAATGAAGCAGAAAAGTACTCACCCAGCTGCGAGTTCCAGAAGGCTGACAGATTGAGCTTCCCTTGCAGTCACAGCAACGGCTCCAGTAAATGAGAGGCACAAGAACTTGTCAAGGAGACTGCATCATTCGTAGACTACTGACGTAACCCTATCACGCCTTGCCGAGCGGACAGGTAACGATCATCTGAAAAATTAAAATAAAGTGGATTTGAAAAGCGCAAAGTACATCGGCATTACAAGGTAATCGTCCTGGTACGATTCTCGATTGCCTCAACCCTGCGTGTACTCTGAATGGTATCGGAATTCTACGTAAGGGGTGGTTAAATAAGGGTGTTATTGAAGGAACAAGTAAGGAGAGAAGCTTGGCCCGAGCGGGTAACCAGTAGTACAAAATAGACAATTCTAGTCGTGGCTGAGTGAAGAACAAGAAGAATCACAAAAGACTCAATTTAGGGCATTTAAAGTGCTTATATTCGCTCAAAATATGTTGCATTTACAAAATAATATTATCATTCACTTTTAACAAGCAAGGGGACTTAAATATTTGAAGTAAAAGTGCTTAAAAGTACACTTTTGTGATTCTTCTTGTTCTTCACTCAGCCGCCACCAGAATGGTCTATTCGATAGAGCGGAAAATAATCACTGCCCGAGAACGGGGCTTTTCAACTGAATTTCGTTTTCCCATAAAAACAGCTCATTGCACACATCTCGATGCAATGCGATAGGGAACTTCGGAGAAGATCCAGACCGCACTAGTATAACTCAAAATCAACTCCGCGCTTGAGTCATGCATTAAGTTACGCTGGAAGACATAACGTTTGATATGAAGCATAGACTGGAAATTCCCCCCACACTCTCAGTCCAGGAACGTGACATCACGTTCAAACGAATGTGACAAAGTGTCACGTTCGTTTGAGCATTGTGTCACATTTCTTTCGATGTGAATCGGCCATAAATTAGCTTACTCACATTCCAACGAATGTGACACAATGCTCAAACGAACGTGACACTTTGTCACATTCGTTTGAACGTGATGTCACGTTCCTGGAATGAGAGTGCATGCACTCAAAAAACCTTGCAAAGTATTCCCCGGCATTGTATTGCAAACTCTCCTACAAACTATTTTCTTTGCATTGCGAAGTACTTCTTTGCAACTTGCAAAGAAAATGGTTTGCAACGTTACAAACCAATGCTTCGCAACTTACGAACTATTTCTTTGCAATGCGAAGAAAAAAGTTCGCAAGGGAGTTAGTAATACAATGCCGGAGAATGTTTAGTACTGCAAAGTACTTTTCTTTGCAAGCTTTTCTGAGTGTGTATGTACATAGGGGGAAACTTTGAGGATGAACCTATAACGCTTCATTTCAGGCGTAAACTGATGACACTTGAAAACAGAGGGTAAGACATTGCTTTAGTTCTACCAGTGCGGAAGTCAAGCGGAGATCGGAAGAAACAAATGACGAACGCGAGGTCAGCTTGAACCCGAAACCTTTGGAGTAACTAAGTATTGTCCGAAGTCCCACGTTCGTTATTCATCGTAGAGAAAGGTTAACTTTAAATTTCCCTAGAGTCTGGCCAAATAGGGTATTCCAATGCATCTTGAAACGGAAGAACAAAAGTGGGCCCGAAAATCAACTTCAGCACACGCGCGCCGCACTCAAAAAACCTTGCTATAGAATTTGCTTTAAAACTGTCAAAACCTGCGAAAAACGCTGATTTCTTGTACTATTGGATATGTACCCCTGATAACGACCCCTACTTGAAATTCGTGATTGCTTGACCCTCGGCTTGACCGGAAGCGGGAAGCACATGAGTGAGGGACCGCTCATTAATTTCGATACATGCTTTTCTGGCTCGGTCCCAGCTACACGGCGTTATGTTACGCCAGAACCCCTCACTCCCTCTCACACCGTAACGTTACGCTGGCTTGGACCTACGCTAGGACCTACCAATCAGGGTCCACCTTAGACAGGTCACTGTAACGGCCGCTAGGTGGTTCTGGACTTTTGGATTACTTGCGATTTTCAATCGGCCACGAGCGACGTTTTCACCCTTTCGGCCGTTTCAAACGAAACATCTGCACGTTGAAACACGCTGGCAGCAGGATTATTGTAAAATAGTTACTTCCGGCAAACTTCTGCATGCCACAGTAGCTGACACACAAGCTTGGTCCGTTCTTACGATCAAGATTCCACGACTGTCCTACAGTGATGCACGAAAGTTGAAAGTACGACACGTGATTCTTCGTCAGCGCGAGGGCAGAAACGTCGGCTCGGACTTGGTGTCGGCAGGACAGGGCAGACTCAACGTCAGGCACTGATGGACACTTCCACTAGAGCACCTAGTGAAGAAGAAGAAGAACAAAAGTCGGAAACAGTTCATACACGTCGGTTATTCGGTACATCATGGATTCATTTGGGTTCTAAAAATTGTTAAGAATTAAACAAAACTGAGTATCATTATTTTAAACCGTCAAAACCTCAAAATAAGACGATTTTGAGAACTGGTTCCGGTGCTACTTTTTCCTCTTGTTCTTCACTTGGCGTTCTGGTGGAAGCGTCTATTGACGAGTTAGCAAAAGTATGGACACGTCCGTCCACTCTCCACTCACACCGACTCTGAGTTAGCGGTTGCGCTGAAACGGGTTAGTTCTTATCCTACTTCTGGTCAGGTATATGGTACTGCAAAGAATCTTGAAAGGGAAGATGAAAAATATCAGTGAGCCCTAAGGGCACCTTCTGCGCATGTGCACCGGGTGGTGAGGGAAGGTGGGCGCATGCGCAGAAGCTGTTTTTGCGGCTTACTTTTCTTCTTCTTTTTCCATTCCGAGTTTTATTGCAGTACCCTATTGGATGTTCCTCTAGAAACGGCTTCGGCGCATCGCGTAGCCGATCCCCCACCCGCCGTGCGCTTGCGCTCAAGCTGTTTTTAGAGTACACCTACTTTTATTCTTCACCTTCCGTTTCAAGATTCATTGTACTACCCTATAAGTTGAAATACACTGTTAACGCTCTGGCGTTAACGATAAGCAAGATATCAAGAAGGAAATGAGGAATCACCTGCCAGCTAACTAGTTCTTGGTTCGGAAAGGAGTAAGAGGCATGTACTGACCTGTTTTCCCAAGTCGAGCTTCTTATTCAGTCGTCCCAATTGTCAATCAGTGAAGGCGTGCCACTGTAACTGTTGATTATCCGGTCAGGATGTGAACAGATGGGCTATGTGACCCGTCACGCAAATTTGGGTTGAGCCAGCTGAAATTGAGAAAAGTTCCATTTGACAGACGCAATGAACAAACAACGTGATGGATCCACTCTTAAAAGCTTGAAAATGAAGACATTGTAGAATTGCTTCGTATTATGAGGAAATGCTACGTATTGCCAAGGATTTTGCTTCATAATACGAAGCATTTCTTCGTAGATTTTACAAAGCCTTCATTTTCTTCGTATTACGAAGCGATTCTTCGTAGAGTTTTTACTGTGCAAGCATGGAACCACTGCGAACGTGCCTATTGTTTCCTGACTTTTTAGATCACTTTTGTTCTTCGCTCGACGACGAGCGAAAGCGTTTACAGTCAGAGACATCTGGCAACACTCAAATTGTTGGCTTTTGATAAGTTTTTTTAATGAATCGCTGAACTGGAAACACCGATCCCCGATTCAGCGGTTAGTCGAAATAGCCTAATCAAGTCAGGACCAAGCGTAACATTACGGGCTTTGAAGTTAAAGAGTCTTAGATTTTTAACCATATTTTCAGGACGCTGTTGGTTCTTCTTTCCCGTCCCGTCATGGAGTGCAACGTGTGCTTTGAGCGGTACGACGCCACCGAGCGCCGGCCGAAGGTGCTGCCCTGCGGCCACTCCTTCTGCGTCAAATGTCTGCAGGGGCTGCGTCCCAGAAGGTGCCCTGCTGACAACAAGGCAAGTGGTGTCGACGTTTATGCATCGTAAATGCAATTTCGCCATCGCAATAGGGTGCTTCGAACAAGAGCTGCACTCTAAATGTTCTACAGTGAAGATTCTCCATATTGTGGTGAAAATGTTCCATATTATGGCGGTGCAGCTGACTTCGTAACATACCATTGAGAATTCACTGCACCTTATAGATATTTTGACAAATTTCGTTGGTATTATGGAGAAAATCTCCACCATAATATGTTGGTGCAGCCTTTCACCGTAAGACATTTACTGTGTGGACCAGGAGTGGAGAAGAAATCAAGAAGAACAAACGCCGGACTGAGTTATAACAGAATATAACTCTGCGGAAGCGGCAGAACGGCGACGCAGACGCTCATCATCACCACTTTCGCATACTTCACACTAAATTCTTATGGACTTTTTTATGCATAGTTCGAGGGGTCCTATTCAAAAGATCTTATCTGCGCGTTCCGCCCAAGACAATCTTATCTTAAACGCAGGCGAATTTCACTCAGTTTGATCATTTTATACAGCTACAAATCAATATCATTTCTGATAAATTTCACTGAAATGTGGAGATAAAAGATCAAAGAAACCAAAAGTACATGTAAAAATATATTCCGCTTACTCTCGTACGTGTCCCAACTGGTCAAACTGGGTGAATGCGTTTAAGATAAGATTGTCTTGGGGGGAACGCGCAGATAAGATCTTTTGAATAGGACCCCTCGAGTTATGCATGCACAGATACGTCCATATGTTATGTTTAATATTATGCGTCACAGCTCTACAAATCGAAGAGTGTACATGGTATGCTCTAACTGGAGCATGCCTGCAAGCACGCTCTAACTAGCGCATGCCTGCCAAGCATGCACTTACTAGCGCATACATGCCATGTACACGCTTCCTGATGCAGACAACTCCCTATCCCTTATGCACTAGATGCATGCTTCAGTTAGCGTGTACATGGCATGTATGCACTAGTTAGTGCATGCCTGGCAGGCATGCGCTAGCTAGAGCGTGCTTGCAGGCATGCTCCAGTTAGAGCATACCATGTACACTCTTCGATTTGTAGAGAGTGTGCATTTTATGCAGGAAGATGCTTAAAATGTACACAGTGATGCATAATTTTATACACACCTTATGGACGTTTCTGCGCATGCATAACTATGCCTAAAAATGCATGATTATGAATTTAAAGAGTCTATAAGAATTTAGTGTGTTCGTTCTTCTTGATTTCTTCTCCACTTCCGTTCCCACTCTCCTCCTAAGTACCCCATTGCGTTTCTTTTTCTTTATATACCCTGAGTTACAATGCATTACGTTGCCATTAGTTCCAAAACTACCCCTAGGGCCTACATCGTGAAATGGCGACACCTGAATTAAGTTTGTGGAAATTAGATGTTGTGGTGTTGCTATGGAAATGGGGGCTGAAGTGTTGTGTGCCAAACCTTCAGCTTCGATTAGACTTAAAGTCGACTCTGGGAAACCAAGAGTGGAGAACTTGGGAGAACTTCACACTTTGAAATACGAAGTAGTGGGATTTTCTCTTGAAAGGGCGGAGTATGTTGTTTCCTTTTGGAGTTCTGTTCATTAACACCATGCCAAGCTCTGCACTCTCAGACTGTTATTGACTTTTTGTCCTTTGTTAAAGAGTATTTTACACAGCAATAAAAAGTACTATTTCCTCAATATTATTGTAGGATTTTGTTCGTTATATTGACATAAAGTCAATTTGCAATTGACAAAGGGTCAATACGCAATTGACTTAAAAAGTAGTCAATAATTGATGACAATTTAGTCTTTATAGTGAACAATAGTGTACATGATTACTAAGGAAATACTACATATTATTGCTGCTTAAAAAACTACGTAAGCAAAGGACAAAATGTCAATAATGGAGAGAAAGAAGTCAATACGAGTCTGAGAGTGTGTCGCGTCGATAGCTTCTCCACGCTTACGTTGTGGGGACTGCAAATACCACATGTCCAAGTGAGGAGAGTATCTCCGCACCCGTAAGTGTTGGTATGACATTTGACGTTGTTGTGCATCTTTGTAATTGCATTATGAGACCATGTTCTGATGAACGTGTTTCGATTTCAAGGGTTTATGTAGCCCGGCAGCTGATTCTAATCATGCATTGTGACTGCAACCGTTGTTTTTCGGATGTTCAGGTCTTCAAATCTCCAGAAGAATTGGTGGACAACTTCAGCCTGCTGCAAGCGTCGAGCAAGTAAGTCTGTCCGAGTTGACCCCCTCCCCCCTCCCTTCCTCCCCCCCCCCTCTCTCTTTTGGCCTCTGTTTTGTTTGAAGCTGACATTTGGTGAAATCTACACTGCTGCTCAGCGAATTTACTTTCTCGGAACGTTTCAAAAATGTGTTCGCATTCCTATTTGGTTTTGTAACTTGCGAAAAATTTGCGAACGGGTAGTTGGTGATTTGGCTAATGAACTTGTTTCCAGAGTTTGTTCGCAATTTACGAACTACACACTAAATTCTTATGGACTTTTTAAATGCATAATGACGCATAATTTATGCATAGTTATGCATGCGCAGAAACGTCCATAAGGTATGAATAAAATTATGCATCATTGTGTACATTTTATGCACCTTCCTGCATAAAATGTACACAGTGATGCATAATTTTATACATTACATATGGACGTATCTGTGCATGCATAACTATGCATAAAAAAGTCCATAAGAATTTAGTGTGTAGGGATTTGCAATACTGACGTTCCAGGGAATTTCTATAGTTTCCGCGAATATTCCAACCCATCGGAACAGTAAATCTTTTCCCTAGCCTGCGAAACCGAATAGCTTGTCTATCTTTTCTTGTCTCCAATGAAATTTCGTTTTCGGTGTCCAAATGTTATACAGTGAAGATTCTTCATATTATGGTGAAAATGTTCCATATCATGGTGGTGCAGCTGGCTTCATAACATACTATTGAGAATTCACTTTACCTTCAAAATATTTTGACAAATTTCTTTGGTACACACTAAATTCTTATGGACTTTTCAAATGCATAAGGACGTATTTTTATGTATAGTTATGCATGCGCAGAAACGTCCATAAGTTATGTGTAAAATTATGCATCACTGTGTACATTTTATGCATAATATTATACATAACATATGGACGTATCTGTGCATGCATAACTATGCATAAAAAAGTCCATAAGCATTTAGTGTGTATTATGGAGAAAATCTCCACCACAATATATTGGTGCAGCCTTTCACCGTAAGACATTTACTATGCGTCTACACTTGAAATCATTGCAGGACTTCTTTGAACCTCTTTGCTTCGCAATTTGATGGATTTGGTTTCGCTTTCAGACCCGTGGACGCCGCGTCGCCGCGCTTTTGGTGCCTGCAATGCCAGAAGGAGGCGACGGCGCTCTGCGTGGACGAGCACCCCGTGTGCAACCTCAAGAAGGCGCGGGCGGACGCCGCGGCGCCGGTCCTGGAGGACCTGCAGCAGGACGAGGTGGTGGTGGACAAGCTGGGCGAGGCACTGGAAGTGTTCCGGGAACTGCTGCAGCGGGAGAAGGCCAGCCTCGTCTCGGCGCAGGGACGGCTGCGGGACGCGGAGGCTGGCGACGCAGCGGCCTGGGAGCAGGCGAAGAAGGACGCAGTGGACGCTGGTGAGGACCACCCGCTTTAGAGGTCGCACTCTCATTCCAGGAACGTGACATCACGTTGAAACGAACGTGAAAAAAATGTAACGTTTGTTTGAGCATTGTGTCACATTCGTTTGGGTGTGCACACTATATTCTTATGGGCATTTTTATGCATAGTTATGCATGCACAGATACGTCCATATGTTACGTATAATATTATGCATCACTGTGTACATTTTATGCAGGAAGATGCATAAAATGTACACAGTGATGCATAATTTTATACACACCTTACGGACGTTTCTGCGCATGCATAACTATGCATAAAAAGTGCGGCCTTATGCATTTAAAAAGTCCATAAGAATTTAGTGTGATAAATTGGACAAAAATCAGCTTGTTGAACGTGACACAACGTCTCGCCCGAAAGTCTCGCCAAAATTTGGTCTAGCCACAATATTGTTAGACTTTTGATTTCGCAAAAGCTGCCTTTCTACAGGGGCAATGTGCGACTTTTTGCCTACCTTTCCCGCGCCTGCACTGTTGAAAAAGCCGCACATTTCAAGGCAAAGGGTACGGCTAGACCGTACCTCACGGTATACAGGACAACTGTACCCAAAAACCGTGCTTCCCATAAGGGCCCATGTTATGGAAAACCGTACTCCGTATCCCAAAAGCCGTACTGGATGAAGTACGGTGGTACCAGGCAAATTGTCTCCCAGACTGAGCCTGTACCTTTTCCCGTGGATTTTTTCTACAGTGTGATTCAGGAGCACACTTTGCGGGTCTGAATGCAAGTACCGTGTGTCTCGCAGGACTGTCGCGTAGCGTGGCCGAACTGTTGAACGGCCTGGGCGACCCCGCCACGTCGTGCAGCCTCACAGTGCACCGCGGCGCGGCGGGCGGCGAGGCCGGCGGCGATGTGTGGAGTGGCCAGGTGCGGCCCGCGGAGGACGCGGCGGCCGGCCTGGCGGCAGGGCTGCTCATGTTCCGGCTGGCGCGCTGCGGAGCCTTGGAGCGACTGAAGCAGCAGCAAGCCACGCCTCCGAAGCAGCTGCGTCCCGCCGGTGAGTGTCATACACTGAGAATGAAAGAGTCATGATCATGACTAAAATTTTGGGCGAGGAATTCTTTATTACCCAAATTTGGGTCATAATTTTATGGAGCTATATAGGGAGCTGATACACCCTTCCTTACCCAAAATTGGACAAGGAAACATTCCTCACCCACATTTGGGTGAGAAAGTAAACATCGCCTAAAATTGGGTATTGATCATGACTTTTTCATTCTCAGTGTAGGGTCAGTAGACAGTTGGGTTTTGTAGTCTGCGGTTATAGAGAGCTCCACATAGATGCTGTGTCAAAAGGACTCAAGACTCCATGAATTTTACACTTTTGCCTTCGAAAATTTCTGACAGTGTGCTCTTTTTCTCTGCCGCAGCCCCTCAGTGGACTGAACGCTCCAACGAGGGACAGTGGGAAATGACAGTGGAGGAGATGGCGTCCGGCATGGAGGCGGGCGCCAAGGTGGCGCGAGGAAGAGACTGGCTGACCTACAAAGAGGTGGGCGAGCCGCCGGGGCGAGCCACTGTCGTCTCCAAGACCGAGGACGGCATGGTGTCTGTGGTGTGGGACCAGAACAAAGTGGCTGGCCGGTACCGCATGGGTTTCGACGGCAGATACGACTTACGCCTGCTACCCAGTCCGTTGGTGAGTACACATCTCTAAAGTATCGCAGAGGAGGCTCTTAAATAGTGTTGATACAAACATTGTAGTGATTCAGGCTGGCCACTCGCGATAACTTGAATGACGTTACACTGTAAACTCAAAACTTTACTCTCATTCCAGGAACGTGACATCACGTTGAAATGAATGTGGCTGATTCACGTCCAAACGAACGTGACACAATGCTGAAAGGAACGTGATAGTTTGTGAAATTCCTGGAATGAGAGTGTTGGTACACTCTACTTGGCGTGTACTCGGAAGCTCACTCGCACATGAGTAAACTTTGATGAGTACACTCACGAGAGTAAACTCAGATGATTTCACTCCCACGAGAGTAATCTCAGATGAGTACACTCCCACGAGATAGTCCACTTCCACGAGAGTACTCAAATGGAGTACCTACCTTAGCACACCTGACAATATGCACTCTGAGAATCCGAACGCTGTGAGTATTGCATTAATTGGTGCAATGCCTTTTCATGCCACATGAAGTGCAATGCCTTTCGCATTCCCATGCAGTAGCATCGAGGGCATATTCGGGACGCATAGCACGTGTGGCACGATATCCCAATACACAGCGCCATACGTGCTAGGTTCATTGCGTTTGGAATCTCAGTGCAGCTAAAGGTTGTCTGAGCTGTCTGAGCACACGCCCGTGGCAGCGTATTCAAGAATGGAGGAGAGTGTATTGAGAACACAGTTCAGTTTTCAGAGTAGGGGGATTACATAGGAATAGATTCTGGCACTGGTGATACTTAAAAACGGGCTTCCAAAAAGGCCCACCTGCTTTTCGTAAATGAATTAAGGTTTGCCCTTTTTTGCGTGTTCTGCAAGTGGACGCGACATAAACGGAAGGTCTATGAATCTCGGACTGGACAACCGCTTGACCGGCTTGTATTCGCCAATGTTGCAGATGGCTCACATAGGAGCGAAGGTAGGGGATGTTTTCATCGATGCGAAAACTACGAGCTCGACGTTGGGCCCCAAGAACATGTCTCTGGTGTTAACTAGTGGCGCTCTTGATAAGGTACGTATATTTTCAGGTAAAAGTGGTAGTCGACGCAAACCGCACTGGATTCCAATGGAAAGGAAAGAAACAGACTCTTTCGTCTCTTACACTGTCGCAGCACTTTGTTATCGGACAAGACCTTTTCAGAAAGTCCAGGCCCCCGACCAAACAGATTCAGGGGGTACACTTAGATTTCGGCCAAACTCTTTTTACGCAAGAAAAATATACATCAGACTAATAACAGTTGGTGCCTAAATTTATATCCACAACCTTTCAGAATTTTAAAAACCAGAAAGGGGGTAAAATGGTTCAAGTTATCACATGCTTAACGCAGATTTTGGGTCTTAATTGCACACTAAATTCTTGTGGACTTTTTTATTGGCTGAGCGACAGCGAAGCCCGTTACTCAGGTGGGGTTGAAAAGTTTTGTCTGTCTGTCTGTGTGTGTGTCTGTCTGTCTGTCAGCACTACTCCTCCTGAACGGCTCGGCCGATCTGGCTGAGATTTTGCACACTTTTTAGGTATGTCCTTGGCTCGGCACACGCGAAATTTCACTATCCTAGCTCAACTGGTTCAGTTTTTATAGCCGAAAAACACATAAAAAACGGCGAAAAATAGAGATTTCTGCAGATAGACCACTTCTGTCTTGGAGAAAGGGGGGTCCAGCCCCCCAGCCTCGACAAGTTAAAAAGTGACAAGGGTCAAGATCGTGTTATCTGTAGATAAAACAACTCTATTTACAATGTAGGGGGTTTGGGGGGCGGAGCCCCCCAGCATTCAACAAGTTAAAAAATACACTGGTAAAACAAAGGCATAAAAATTACGCCCTTTAGGGCATAAATACTCTTTTACGCCTTTGCAAGGGCATAATCGTTTTATGCCCTTGGGAAGGGCGTAAATGGTATAGGAATTTCAAGCAAAATTTTAATGCCCTTCCCAAAGGCATTAACGATTTATGCCCTTGAAGGGCGTAAATCGTTTACGCCCTTTAGGGGCATAATTTTTATGCCTTTGTTTCACCAGTGTAACCGACAACGGACGAGCCATTGCCTGCCGCAGGCAGGCTAGCGCCGCAGGCCAAGGTAGGTACGCCAGGCGTGGATTGGAGGAACAGGCAGCGAGACATCGCGAAGCCTGTTACGACAAGACGCGGTCTGGCGTAAACCTACCTTGTGCATAGTTATGCATGCTCAGAAACGTCCATATGTTATGCATAATATTATGCATCACTGTGTACATTTTATGCAGGAAGATGCATAAAATGTACACAGTGATGCATAATTTTATACATAACATATGGACGATTCTGAGCATGCATAACTATGCATAAAAAATGCGTCTTTATGCATTTAAAAAGTCCACAAGAATTAAGTGTGTGCTGAGTTAACCAGATATGAACAGAATATGATTTCTTATCAAAAACTCTTATCATTTTCGTCTCAAAGCGACCAAACATAGTAGAAAATGATAAAAAACCTTACTCACAATTTCGCGACCAGATGGCCGGAAACGACCTATACACGGGAAAAAGGTTCATTCTACCCCATATATATGTTTAATATGATTCGGAAAGGGTGTGGATATGTATCTTGGCACCAACTTCAGGGTACATTCTTCATCTCATTTATTATTCTTACGAAAGAAAAAGTTGAACCGAAGTCTGAGTCTACCCTGAATATGTTCCCTTGTGAAAACCTCTCGGGTCTCCCAGAAACTCCCCTCGGAACTCCCTGCACAGTGGGCCAGAAGACCGGTGGCGGCGGCCAAAACTCTTGACGCGTGTTGAGCTCCAGGGTCGCTAAATGGGACTTGAACCGAACGTGTGACCCCACCAATGGATTGCTCTCTGAACGAGGAATCGATTGATGGGGTCACATGGTCGATTCAAATCCTGCTTAGCGACTCAGGAGCTCAAAACGCGTCTGGAGTTTTGGCCGCCTCCACTGGGCTTCTGGCCCACTGTGCCCTGGAAGTAACGTTCGTCTTTTCCCTTTCCAGGCGCGATTCATCTTCGCGCTGCCTTGCAGCGTCATTCCGTTCTGGAGCCAGAAGGTGCTGGAGCTGCTGGCGCCCCGCCTGGAGGGCCTGCACATGTTGGACCCGCTGCAGCGCCACCTCGACGTGGCCCTGGGGATGCCGCACCTGCAGGCGCTCAGCATCACCGGCGTGACTGGGGAGCAGCTGAAGCAGGTGAGAAAGCGTCCGCAACAGCACGGTGGAACTCTCCGAACACACTAAATAGGGTACTTTCGTAGATCCCTGAACCGGAAGCACACAGACGCCATGTTGGCGGAAGTAGATCCAAACTTGACATGGGAAAGAGACGTTCGTCAAAGGTATCGGCCACACTTGAACATAAACAGTCGTTTGATACTTGTTTGCAGTGCATGTGTGTTTCGCGAGCAATATTTGTACAGCTCGGCTATAGTTTTGGATCCGAAGAGAGGTTAGTTTCCGGCCAATTTGGCGTCTGCTGGTCTGCTTGCTTCCGGTGCAGGATCTACGAAAGTACCCTATTCTTAAGGACTTTTTATGCATAGTTATGCATGCGCAGGTACGTCCATATGTTATGTATAATTTTATGCATCACTGTGTACATCTTATGCAGGAAAATGCATAAAATGTACACAGTGATGCATAATTTTCTACATACCTTATGGACGTTTCTGCGCATGCATAACTATGCATAAAAAATGCGTCCTTATGCATTTAAAAAGTCCATAAGAATTTAGTGTGAAGTAACCGACCGTAACCGCCATTCCTGAGAATCGCGGGAGATTTTCCGCACTCGGAAAACCTTACACACTACTTAAGCCTGGTAATGGCGACTTGCTGGGAAAAAACTCATTACAAGCTAACGCAAGACCGTGGCTTGTTGTAACAGGGTTCGCGATGCTGCGCCAGCTCCAACAACCTACGCCTGGCGTTTACACCTACCTTCATTGTGCGGAAAAACCACAGTGAATCCCGTTAATTTTTTTGCCGGGATTTACTGTAGTCAGAACACAGGATTTATACAGTATTTGCCCATTTTGTGCAAAATTTCGTACACATGTGTACGTTAGAAGCCTAGAAGCGCTAAAAGTGTGATGTCTCGTACAAAATTTGTACAAAAACATTTCGTGTGTGGCAAACGCCTCAGAATGCGTGAAATAATTTCGATTCCGGCTGCCCTCAGGTGAGCCAGATGGCGTCGCTGCGCCGCCTGGAGCTGCACTGCACGCTGGCCGCCCCGCTCCCGGTGCTCTCGTTCCCGGCGGTGCCGGCGGGGCTGCTCTGGCTGCGCTGCGGCGTGCACCCGCTGGCCACGGCGCTGGCCCTGGTCCGCGCGCACGCCGCCACACTGGAGGAGCTGCAGCTGGTGGCGGCCTCCACCGAGCCCTACGGCTGCCCCGACCTGGCCGGGGAGCTGCGCCACTGCCAACTCAAGAAGCTCAAGCGGATGGTGCTGCTGCGCCAGACCGTGAACGATGCCACCTGTCGTCACGGCAAGGAGGCCTGCCGTGTGCAGACGCAGCAGCTCTGGGATGCGTTCGTGGAGAGCCACCTGGATGTTCACATCGTTTGTAGTGTTTGCGACAGAGCGGAGTTCCAGAAATCGCAGCTGAAGTCAGTGACCTTGTAGGGCTGGTAATTTGTGACATTTGCCACCTTGTAGAACTTCAGAAATCGCAGTTCCAAAACTTTGAACGCGCAGTTTCAGAAGTCCCTTCTGACTGTTTATTTTGTGGTGATTGTGAGTGTTCAGAAATCGTAGGGAAGGGTTTAATTTGGTGCTATGTGTGAGTAAGAGTCTGTCTCGTTTATGTTATGACACTTCCCTGTGTCATTCGAGCTCGTTTAATAGTCGTGATTATTCAACTTTTTTTTTTCATTTTCCGACTAAATTTGTCATATTTGTTGGTGGATTGCCTAATGATTCATGTCTATTAATTTTTCTTATTCAGAGTGTTGTTCTTCGAGCTTTTCTTCCCCAGCCCGTGCGTTCCCTGACAGTGGGTTTCCTGACAGTGGCTTTGTGCTGTGTCATGTTAAAAGCTGAATCTTCACATTTTGTACGTGACTATTTGTTATGTATCGAGCATGCAATTTATAAATGAATTAATGGTGTGTACTCCACTTCTTTAGCATGCCGTTTTCCCCATACCCGAGTGTGTGCGTGGTTGCCACCACCTGCCCTTCGCCACAGGGCACTTACCTGTATACATGGATTGCCATGGTTTACTTCATAAATCTATGTTGCGCGTTTACGAAGGAACTCTGCAAATTTAAGGTCTTACATTTAGGTTAAGTAAGGCCAGGTTGACCTTCTTATAAAATACCAGTTCAAATTTCATGCTGCGCTCAAAGTTTCTTCGAAAAAATTAAGACCAGACGTCAAAAAAATTTGGAACTTCAACCACCTCTATGGTCCAATCCAAAAATTATATCAGAAAATTTAAACAGCCAAATTAAATAATAATAAAAACCAAACTTTAAACTTGAGCTGAATAAATAAAAATTGGTTAATTTTAGTGTTCTTATGTGGTTGCTTTAAGTTCCTGGTGTAAATTTTTGGTTTGAACCATAGATGTGGTTGAAGCGAAGCGTTCCAGATTTTTTTGAGGTCTGGTCTCAATTCTTGTTGAAGAAACTTAGAGCGCAAGATGAAATTTTAGGTTTTCTTAAGGGGGGACCCTGGTGAAACTTTCAAGTAGGCTTCAAAATAATCCCCCCAGTCCAAAAAACCCATGGGGCATCCCATGAGCCATGGTGGTACATGGGATGCCATGGGCCGATTCTTTCCATGGGAACGATTCCCCGTGATTTTTGGAACAACTTCTCATGGTGTCTAGCGACCCAGGGGGAAAGGTACCATGATGCAGTGTGAGTCATGGGTGGCACTTTGTTGCCTTGGCAGAGTCTCTTGCGACTACAACATGATGAGCACGTAGAGATACATGACTCTTTTCAACTGTCACCCCCTAAACTTTTGACGCTACATCCGATTTTGCAATCATATTTTGTCTGGAGGGCACTGTTGAGATGATATGACCTATAATTGAAAATCAGGCGGAGACTTCAACGCACGAGCAGGACTGCCTTCTCATGGGAAGTCCGAACCCATGGAAAAGTTTGCATCATGGGGAAGGCCCTCCCATGATGATCAGCCTGCACCATGGAAAACAACCTCCATTTTTCATGGCATGCCGCTTGTCCATGGTGCGGAACCGCGGTCTCATGGTATTTCAATGCGCTGTCATGGAATTTGTGTCATGGGATCCCATGCAATCCATGGTTTTTTGGGACTGGGCCAGGAAGTTGAAACTTTGCTTAATTATTAGATTCATGATGGTGAGTTCCCAAAACAAAATTCAATCCAAAATATTGAACGGTCTCTGAGAAAAGTGGCTTTTTAGTGTTTTTTGGAGCGTTGGGGAAAAATCTTCCTGCGTCTTTGATTGGGACGGAAAGCCTTGAAAATTTTTTTGGGTTATCCGAAAGATGTATAGAAGAGATTTTAGTGACGGAATTTTCAAATTCAACTTCTGTCCTGAGATATAAGTTTTCAAATTTTAACATTTAAAAAAAAAGTCATTTTTTTCCCTTTTTTCAAACTTTTAGGTGTGTTTTAAAAAAAGTAGGGCTGATATCAAGATTCCGTCACTAAAATTTGTCGACAAGTCATCAATGAATAGAGTCCATGCAAGACGACTCATGTAGGTGTCAACCAGGAACGCAGGGAGTCTTTCTACGACAAAATTTTTTGTCGACTGAACAAAGCTGTGAAGTTGAGCGTAGAAGCCAACGACAACTGATCTCAATGTTATTTCCTTCCAAATGATAAAGAAACTACTCACTTAGCTTATAGGTGTTCAACCTGTTGAATCTGAAACCTTCTATGCACTTTTTTATCTATGAACTTTGAAAATACAATTTATTGGAATTTTGGCGATTTTTTCACCAGGGTCCCCCCTTAATGAAATGGAAAAGTGACTGTTCCCAATACAAAGAAGTATTTTTAGTAACAAAACATGAACGACCCAAAACACGAAATCTTAAAAGAATTTCAACAGCGGTATTTTAGAAGATTGTCAACCTGACCTAATCTGGATGTAAGGCCTTAACAGCGCACTCTGTACAATCTGTTCAGCGTGTACTCACAAGCTCTATCCTACGAGAGTGTACTGAGATGAGGATGAGTACACTTCCAGGAGAGTGAACTGACAATGAGGTGAGTACTCCCTGGAGAGTGCTCAGATGAGTACCCACGTAAGCATGCCTGGCTCTGACAGTATATGTAGCTGAAGATGTGTCCTCGTCTGATCACTTCTCGTGGGAGTCTACTCGTGAGTACACGCTAAAGGGTGTGCAGAGTACCTCTGGCGTTGGAAACAAGGAACTAGGATCACGACTGCGTGTCACAGTTTCTCGCCAGGTTAGCAAAAGAGAAGAAAGAAAAAGACATCACGTAAAGCGAACATTTTATTGAAATTGATTTAGAAACACCAACACCGACAGGCTAAGGCTAGGGAAAATTCCCAAAGATCACATTGGAAAAAGGCATTTTTCAACATAACTGAGTTCAATGTGACCACAAATGCATTTGCAGTAAGCAAGCCAACAAACAAGGAAAACAAAAAGATTGATCTTACTGCGATGTTCCTCTATACAAAACACTAGGATGACACAACTTCAGTACGGAAACCAACAGGTCTCATAAACCAATAATTCAGTTGCTCATTTCTTACTTAATAAGAACTAGATAGGGCTGAAACTATTAGGGTTCAAAAACATGTCGGTCCATATAAACATAACAATGATTCAGTTGCCTGTCCAGTCCATTAGCTAGAAGCCTGATTGAAAGGCCATCTGAGCTCAAGGGCGGTGGGAGGAGGAGACGGCCACGGGGAGCAGTCTCCCGGACATCCGGCGCCCCTGCCGTGCGAGGCGAAGGCAGACTGCCCGGCCCGCTCGTTGACGTGCGCGTGGCAGCCCCACGTGCACCACTCGCAGTCCCCAGGGCCGTAGCAGTGGCCGCGGGTGAGGCGCAGGTGGAGGCGAGCGTTGCGGACCAGCAGGGCCTGGACGGCGGGGTGGTGCAGCCAGCCGTGGGGGCACACGCCTCGCGGCGGGGCCACCTGCAGCACGGCGAGGCGGGGCGCGGACGACGGAGTCAGCGCGCGCACGAAGCAGTCCGGCGCCGCCGTCTGCAGGGCCAGGGTCTGCAGGTGGGGGAAGTGGTGCAAAGAAGCAGCCAGCTGCTCAAAGAAGTCCAGCCCCAACGCGCCACCCAGCTCCAGGGCTTCCACTGTGCGAGCGGACCGCGACTCGACCAAAGCCAGGAGGGGGGCGGCCTGGCTCTCCCTGCCGACAGGGAAGGACACTGAACGGAGCTGTGAAGATCGAGCGAGGAAGTCCAGAGTGCCGGGAGAGTAGACCACCAGGGTCATTCCACGCCAAGTCGTCAGGGTCCAGACCGACACGTTCGCCGAACCCGGCGATTTTTTTCAGCGATTGTTAGTCCTATGGGACTATGAAAGACCCCACACTTTTTTTCCCGAAAAGTGGTCAGGGGTCTGAGATATCGCAATTTGAAAATTTTCACTAAAAACGTTTTTGGTCTTGAAAACTTGTGAATATCTCCAAAAGTATTCGTCGTATCAAAAAAAATTGATATACCTTTGGGAAAGGGATAAAAAAGGGAAAAAAAAAATGAGACCTGTCCGAAAGTTGTAGGAAAATTTTTTCATTTTTCAAAATTTTTGAGTCAATTTTTCAAAATGACGGCAAATGGGGAGTCCCTTTAACCAAATTGGAGGGGGTTTGGCTTAAAATTTACCTTAATACCTTCTCTAAACAAAAGGACAAACCACAAAAAGATTATTTTTAGTTTGGGAGAACGAGCGTTTTTTGTGGACCTCTGCATACCCATTTTTGGCCTTATCCTACCCCTCGCGCCACACGCGCGCGCCCCTGTGCTCTGCTGCTAGGGTTTACGTTTTGGTGTTTGGGGGTCCTCCATCAGATGACACTCAAATGAAGTTTTCCTCGTCCCTCTTCCCTTTTTCTATTAGAGCAATCGACATGGCGCCTGGATGGCTGGCAACCGAATACGCCTGTGTACGAGGGTTTCCAAATGGGAAACCGGCAGGCGTCCCAGGGTTCGTTCCACCCGCCCTCGTGCCTCGCGCCGCTCGCTCCACTGTGGGCGCGACAAGGGGCATTCTGCGCGAGACTAGGCTACACTGTGGGAACAAATTACAGTAAATCCTGTAGTGATTAGTACAGCTGTCACTGTAGTTCAGAGTACAGGATTTACTGTACTTTTATACAGGGCGGCCGACCTGGAGACTCCTGTTAAGGGCTGAGATGAGTTCTACTGGAAGATACTCTTTTTGGAAAAATTCTGTGAATTCTTCACTATATTCGAGGGGTTCTTGGGTGTCCTCCTGAGGGTTATCTTGAAGGGCGTGGTCGGGGGTGAAGATTTTGGGGGAATTCTTCTAGCCCCCTCCCATTGGAGGTTTGGGGGGGGAGTATTTTTCCCGCATAGCTTTTTGGGCCCAAACCCATATGGGTGCCATTGGGGGTTCTTGGGTGGATTGATTCTAGAAAGTTTTTCCATGATTCATTTCTTGTTATGTTGATGAGTCTTTGTTTCTTTTTTTATGGCATCTAGTGCTTCCAGGTTTTCTGGGGATCGATGACGAGTAAGTTCTCTGAGGGCTAATCTTCTTTTTTCTACAGCTTCTTGGCATGCTTGGTTCCACCATGGTTTTGGGGCATGTTTAGCTCCTGTGGAAATAGCCTTTCTTTTTTTTGATGCTTTATCCATACCTGTTGTCATGAGGGCGACTAATTCGTTGTATGCTGCGAGGTTTATCTGTTTTTTCCAGAGTTGGTTGCCATGATTTCTGATTTCTTCTTGATATTTCTCCCAGTCCCTTTCTTCTATCTTCCATTTTCTTGTTGTAAAGAATTTTTTAAGTGGGGAGATTCCTCTACCCATCTGGATGGTAATCAGAGCTGGGATGTGATCACTTCCCATTGAGTCTTCCATTAATTCCCATTCTGTTGCTAGAGAGATTGTAGGGGAGGAGAGGGCTAGATCTATCACTGTGTTTCTTTGGTTGTTCCTGCCCAGCCGGGTCGCCTGGCCCTTATTCAGTAGAGTCAGATCATTCAAGGTGATCCAGTCAAATACCTGGGTTCCTCTTGGATCGTTTCTGGGTTCTCCCCAGTGTAGGTGATGGGCGTTAAAGTCTCCTCCTATTATCATAGGTTGCTTGATACTGTTTGAGACTAGAGACCAGCTTTGAGGAGTTGTTGTTCTAGATGGAATGACATATATGCTATATATGTAGAGTGGATTATCTTCTTTGAGTATCTTTACTCCTGTAAGTTCTATTCCTATATCATCAGGTAGGTCTATAGAGATGGTTTCAAATTTTACTGATGTGTGGACGCAGATGGTGTTTCCACGTCCTCCTAGAGGGGGAAGTCCGTTGAAGATCCAGTATTGGCCCATTTTCTTATGGTTTAGGAAGAACATTTGGGATTCCTGGATTATGTGGGAGTTTGGTTTATCGTGTTTGAGCTCTTGGTTGCCCTGGGCAGGTTTCTTCCCTTTGGTCTTAGAGTCCCTGTTTTGTGGGATTGAGCTCCTAGCTTTGGGTCTAGGAGGGCCTTGCTTTGAGTTGCTTGGGTCGGTGGGGGGCTGAGCGGATTTTTGGGGTTCAGGAGGGGCTTCGAAGCAGTCCATTTGTTCTTGGGATTCAATATCAATGGTCTCGGGTTGGACATCATATTCCAGTTCTGTTGTAAATACCTTGAGCATTTCTTGTTCCACCACTTGTTGCGTGGTGCGGTTGTCGCTGGCACTTGTAGCCAGGGTGACCACTTGTTCGATGAGGTTGGAAAAGACTTTAAGGAAGCCTTCAAACATCTCACTTGAAATAGGGATTTTTTCCCCTTGTTTTCTAGGGGGGCTGGTTGGATTCTTGGTTGGTTTATCCTGGAGGTTCTGTTTAGGAAGTCTGGGGAATTGTTCTCTATGCGGAGACCAAGTTTGGGGTGCAGGTCTCTGGTGGGAGCTTCTGGCTGCTTGAGCGTATGATATATTCTTTCTAGCCATTTTTTTCCTGATTTCGCGTTCGCTTTTCCATTTTGGGCAAATTTCTTTATCTTCAGATGAGTGTTCGCTAGTTTTGCAGTAGATGCAGTACCTTTGTTCTGATACCGTCGAGTCCCCTAAAGTGGGACGATTTTTACGGAAAATCGTCTGTTATTCACAGAATAACGATGACACCGAAAATCGCCGGGGATTTAAGAATCTTCATGTCAAAACACGTCTTTTACCGAAAACAAATTTTTTTTTTTAGCCCATGGGGCTCCAGTAGGAGCAGCAAGAACCGTGTCCCAATTTAGGAGCCAAAGTCTCCTAAAGTGGGACAAAGTCCCCTAAAGTGGGACACGTTCATTCGTTTTCGCCCAAAAACTGCAGTAGCAAAAAATTTCTTAAAATGTATTATGTCCTAAATTAAATTTGAAGCAAGATTGGTTCTGAAGTCTTTTTCGATATCTCGACTGGCTAAGCTGATATGAGTCTCTTCAATCAATTAGATTTCGTTAGATATATTTAAATTAGAAACAGCCGTAGCGCCTAAACCAATTGAAATACGGCGAAAACCAATAAAACAAAATGGTCTTAAAATTTAATTTCTGACCAAAACCATTTTAAGAAATTTTTTGCTCAGGTCATATTTTATAAGTTTCGAAATGCACGGCAAGAAATACATGTTGAAATTTTGAAAATTAAAAACCGTTTACCCGGCAACTTTTTTTCTAAAAATTTTTTTGTTCAAAATATGATTTTACGTAAGATTTGTCTTATGGTCGATAACGATATCTTTGTAGGTTAAGCCAAGAGGACGCATTTGCTTTCAAACATTGACTAAATTTTGTGCTGACTTAAAGCGTACCGAATAACCGTTCTTGCCCGACTGCCTGGGCCTCCAAACCGACCTGGCAACCTAATATATACAAGGCAGCGTTTGTAGGACGCTGGAGGTGAATGTAACGCCTCTGAATCGGTCAAAACCTAAAAGAAACGAAGGAAATGCATGTGTCCCACTTTACAGCCCCTCCGATAGACTGTCCCAGAAAGAAGTCGATGTTCTGTTACTCATCCGCACACCCAGGGAAAGTGTTCCTTTTGTTAAAAAAAAGACTAAATTCTTTCGCGGAGGTGTCTCGGACAGAATTTAGAGGTCGCGCATCGGCAAAAAAGCGAAAAATGCCGTTTTTTTGGCCCGTCTCGTTTATTTTTTGTAAAAAAATGACGGAGGGACGGGCATATAGTATGATCCCTGCTGTGCGTCCGTCCGTCCGTCCGTCCGTCCGTTCGTCCGAGGACTTCCCGTGGTCCGATCTTGACCAAATTTGGTATGCAGCCTCCTTGGCTGACCCTAAGAACCGCCCGGTGGCAGCAAATCCGATCCGAGCCCCGGGGGCGCTGCTGCAGGTGCATCATGGTCTACATGGGGTCGAAGGGGATTTCGGCAACGGATACAGCTAGGAGGGCATGTAGGGGTATTTTTGGAATCGGGGCGACGAGAAAAAACCAACGGTGCCAGTTTCAAGTGAATTGGAGAAGTTTGGACCCGGGTTCAAATCCCAGTGGGGTATATTTTCAACATTCTTTTTACTCGAGTTTTTGCATTGTTTCTGATGTTTTTGAAGGTGCTGATGACGAAAATAACATAAATTTGGACCCCAGACTGAGGTTCAAATCCCGTTAGGGTGAAACATTAGCGAAATTCACACATTTCTAAATGTACGGGACGGGCCAAAGTTGCCGATGTATATCGCTACTTTTCCTGTTATTGTACATTCCGCCCGATTGCTCCCGCGGGGGTACATCCTCCCCTCCTCCCGCCACTCACTTGAACTCCTGGCATGTTTGGGCTCCCGTTCTGCACAAAACCGACGCAGCCCGAGCCCTTAAAAGTCCGCATAATCGACCAAAACTAATCTTTTTTCTGAAAAAAATTCAAAAAAATGCAAATTGGGGTACAGGGGGTTCGAATTAGGGTCAGGTGTTGGTTTAGAACGAAAGAGAATCACAAAAAACGTAGGATGGCGGTCATAGGAGTTTGCCATATGAGTATCGGAGCCGCCCGGGCGGCCGGAAATTTGCAAATTTCAGTAAAACTGCCGTTTTTTCGCCCTTTTTCGCCACTGTCACGCTTTTCACCGGCAAGCGTTAAAAGCATCGGCAAGCGTTAGAATGCTAAGGGAGGAGTGTCTTGATGTCGGAAGAACCCAAGTGGGTGGCGTCAAACCGGTGGAAAGCGTGACAGTGGCGAAAAAGGGCGAAAAAACGGCAGTTTTACTGAAATTTGCAAATTTCCGGCCGCCCGGGCGGCTCCGATACTCATATGGCAAACTCCTATGACCGCCATCCTACGTTTTTTGTGATTCTCTTTCGTTCTAAACCAACACCTGACCCTAATTCGAACCCCCTGTACCCCAATTTGCATTTTTTTGAATTTTTTTCAGAAAAAAAATTAGTTTTGGTCGATTATGCGGACTTTTAAGGGCTCGGGCTGCGTCGGTTTTGTGCAGAACGGGAGCCCAAACATGCCAGGAGTTCAAGTGAGTGGCGGGAGGAGGGGAGGATGTACCCCCGCGGGAGCAATCGGGCGGAATGTACAAAAAAACGGCATTTTTCGCTTTTTTGCCGATGCGCGACCTCTAAATTCTGTCCGAGACACCTCCGCGAAAGAATTTAGTCTTTTTTTAACAAAAGGAACACTTTCCCTGGGTGTGCGGATGAGTAACAGAACATCGACTTCTTTCTGGGACAGTCTACCCTCCGAAGATTGCTTCCCACCGTAAAACGAAGTGTCGGAAACAAATTTTCTAAAGTGCATCTTGTAGATAAAAGAACGCGCTACAACATGTCTGAAGTCTAGAATGGTCCGAGCATCAACGGCTCGAAGCCCCGAATCCGCGCTAGACGTCTGAAATAACTTCTCTCTTTTTCTGCATCAAATTCCAATTTTCAAGATTTTTTGGGGGAGGGGGTATGAGCGGGAACAAGACACTCTGTGCGGATATGGTCTTGGAGAGGTCCTACCGTCTCAAAAACATTTTTTACCTCGCAAAATATCCACGCGTTGGCCGCTTACGGCCTACAATAGGGAAAATAGTCAAAATGTCCCACTTTAGGGTTCGTGTTCACATTTAGGGGACTTGACGGTACACAGTTGTCCAAAGTGTGGGAGTTGTCTCCGCATTTGGCACACCTGGGTCTAGTTCCTTTACAGTCATTTGAATTGTGGCCGAATCGGGCACATTTTCTGCATCTCTTAACTGTTTGGACGTATTCTCGCACTGGAGTTCTAAGTCCATAGAGGGATATGTACTTTGGAAGTCTTTGTCCTGAGAAGTAAATTTTCCAAGAGTTGGAACTAATCCAGTTTTCACCTTCTCTTTTTGAAAGGGTCTCAGCTGAGACAATTTTGATGTTTGATTCTGCTGCCTCCATGAATTCTTCTTGAGTGAAAACCTCATCCAAGTTGTCAATGACTCCAATTCTAGTAATTCTTGTGATGGGAATTTCCGCTGACCAGTTATTGTTTTTGCAGGTGTTGGAGTCCAGGAACTTATTCGCTGCTTCTGGAGTATTGAAGTAGATTGCCATTCTGTTGGCGCCTGTGGTCTTAGCGTGACTATAGCCCCTATGGTTCTCTGAGATAATTCTAGTTGTGGCTGTAGGATGTAGACGGCCAATGTTGAGGCCATCATTGCTGCGAACCACCACGACAAAATCTGGCCCCAGGTCATCTGGTGAATATCTGTTCTTTGATTTATCCATTGATATTTCATGCTCGATCCTTCTTCTGGTGGGGTCGATTCCATCCTCCTCAATTTGGGAGGGGTCCACTGAGATCTTTCTCTTTCCTCCCGTGAATAAAGAATTCCCTCTTGAGTTTTCATGGCTATTATTGCCCTTTTCCGAGCCTTTCCTATCATACCCCCCCCCCCCCCCCACGGGTCATACATCTTCCACACTTCACACGACAACCTCGTGGTAACTGAGGTTAGGTCGAATTTGAATTTTCGCGCGCGTAGGTCGACCCGTGTGCTCGCCTCGGCTGCTCACACGGAACCTTATATCCGCTTGGGCGATGGTGGATAGTGGACAGTGGACATTTCAGGGTGCGACGTTGCCAGCCTGCTTTTTTTATTTACTTTCCCCGTCTTGTCACCACCCAAATGGTGCTCATCTCGTGTTTTAGCCATTTCTAACTCACTATGCAAGAAATGCAGCTGGAGCAGCTTAGGAAAAAAACGCAATAAGTTCAAAATGATGATATTGTTATTGGTGAGCGGCAACGTCGCACTGAACCAGCGCCTTTTAACCGGGAACAGACT